GTTCATAGTTTACTCGGTGTACCGTAAATCTATCGGGGGGGGTAACACGAGAGTTGTACGGTACTTGCGAGGCTGGATAGTAGAGGGGGGAGCTTTGGAACGATTTCGGCCTGTGCTATGATTTGTATGTTACCCATGCACCGCCGTGTTGTGGGGTGGATGGAATAGTACCGCACTTTGCGAGGTTGAATTCCAGAGGGGTGGGCTGTGGCTAGCCGGGTGTTTTACCCCATGTCTGTGTCTATCGGCGGGTGACACGAGGATTGTACCACACGTTCGAGGCTGGTCGTAGATGTACATCTATGTCGTCTGTGCGGTAAATGTCCAGTGGGGCGCTTTCCCATCCTATGCTTTGGAGCCCCGGGTGGAAGTCTTGGTGAACCCACGCCATGGGTTGCGGTATACCAGTTTGTAGCCGTTTCAAGGCATGCTTGCTTCTGTGCTGTGTGTTGTACAGATGCTCGCGGTAGCGCTGGCATGGTCGCGTGTTATCGGTAACCGAAATACGCAACCAACAAACCCCGAAACAAACAAAAAAAATAAAAATCTCAGAGCGGCTGAAAACGGAAAATGCTTCTATATGCCATGATCTGGGACCCCGTGAGTGCGGTGTGTGTGTGCGTCTTTTTTTTTTCTGGCAAGCTTTTGTGTGACCTTCCTCTTGGCTGCTACGTCAGATATGGGAGTACTGGTACACCGAAAGGCCTGTAGACTGGCGCCAGGAAAGATGGGACGAACACACACACACACACACCATCGATAAAAATCAAACGAAGATGACGCCCCTTCGCGTTGGTGCGATTTTTTTTTTCGTGCTGCTGCTGCTGCTGCTGCCAGGTGGACATGAGGAACGGTGCCCTGAAAGTTCTCGAGGAGAAGGGAATTGATATGGAGCCTGTGCTGTAGCGCACGTTGCCGTTGCATGGCGTTACCGCACGAGGCGGAGAGATGGCATGCCCTCCCTTAGACCCAAGCTCGATTGATTGCTCCACAAGCAAGCTTTTGTGCCAACATTATATAATGGTGGATCGCTCCACAAGCAAGCTTTTGTGCCAACGCCAAGTAGTGGTGATTTTGGAAATATCTCGTCGAGAGCTTTTCCGTGGACGTATCGGGCTCTTTCCTACACCCACTTGGTTGTGGAGCAATCGAGCCTTGAAAATCGGTGTAGGGGGGGTGCCATCTCTCCGCCCCTTACGGAACACCACGGTACGGTATACGGTATGGTACAGACAATCTTGGTTGTGGAGCAGTCGAGCCTTGAAGGTCGCTCTGGAGGGGAATGGCTCTTGCGGTACTTAAGCACAGACGTATGTCCGCAGCGGCTGCTGCAAGGTCGGGAGTGAATCCGAGTGCAGCAGCAGCAGCTGCAGCAGCTGCAACGCCGTCTGTGTTTTGTGGTGTCAGGGCTGACCTACACCTAGAATAGAGTGACGATTGTCGGGTCGGGTGTGGTTTTGCGATGTGGGGGCGTTAGGTGTGAAGTGACATTAACGTTTGTCTTTTGAGAATGTGTTTTGGGCGACGGGGGGGGGGGGGGGGGGGGGGCAAATTTTTTTTTATGGGAAACCCCCCCCCTTTTAAACAAAAAGTTTTCCCCCCCCCCCCCGGAGTTTTTTTAAAAAGGCTTAAAAGGAAGTTTT